ACTGCTCAAATTAATAATATGGTACAGATACAAAATATATTTGTCCAGGTTTGGGGTTATTCTACGAATAGTCTTGGTTTGATCGGACACATGTTGAGCATTTGTGTGCTCACACGTACAAAACTTCGTTCAAATCCATGTTCATATTATTTTTTAGCATCAACAATCAGTGGTTTATGTGTTGTTTGCATTACTAACCCTATACGTATTCTTCAATATAGTTATCACATTGATTTTACTACATACTCAAATGCATCATGTAAAACTATTACATACATACTGAATTTAGCAAGGTAATAAATATTATTCTAGAAGATGAATTTATTTTTTGTTTCTTTCTAGAGGACAGACATCATGGTATATTGTTCTTGCTTGTATTGATCGGTAAATATTATTATAATTGAATAGAAAATATCTTTCGAATTCCAACAGTTCATATTTCGTAACGATTCGAAAGTTTCATCTTTCATGAGAACAATTCTTAAGATTTATTATTTACAATTCAACATTTTTCTCTTGTGTATATTATGTTCTTTCAGTCTTTCATTAGTATTCTTTTTTCTCGTAAATAAGTTTTTGTTATATGTGAAGTAATATAATAAATATTAGTATGTTAAACTATAACTCTCATTCTATTTAAAATGCACTTCTTGATGAGTCAAATAATAAAATATCAAATACTCCATGGGTATATAAAATCATCACTCAGAAAAACTATCTTATGACATATCTTATTAATGTATTAGAACAATTTTTGTATAAATGAATAAGATAGACAAGATTTTGTGCATTTGATTCTATACAATGTAATGTTCTTTATTTATTACAAAATTCATTTTATATTCTACAGATTTTTATGCAGCTCTTCATCAACCACATTACGTGCATGGAGTAATCGTCGTGTATCTATTCGTACTATTTTAATCTCTACTCTCATAGGCAGTCTATGTTACATACATATACTCATTAACAACTATATCGTACCTCAGCTTGGTCTATGCTATACGTTGCAAGGTGTCTATCAAACATTTGCAAGCATCTGGCTCTTCATCATATACAGCATAGGCCCATCGATTTCGATGTTTCTCTTTGGTATGTTAACTATTCGAAATATTCGTAAATCAGTTAGAAGAATTGGAATTGTTGACAATCAAACTCAACCAGAAAGATATAGAAAAGCAACAGATCGACAGTTGACACAAATGATGTTTGGACAACGTATAATGTATCTCGTTACAACATTGCCTTTCTCAGCTATTAATATTTATCTCACATTTGATCCAAGTACGAAATCAAATGCTCTTCAAACAGCAAAATATAATATGTTATTAGGTATATCTGGTTTCATAGGTCTGTTTGTTCCATGTACAAGTTTCTATATGTTTATTTTATCAAGTAAAGGATTTCGTAATGAACTATTTCAGTTATTCAAAAATCGCCTTCAAGTGCCACAAGCATCTGTGAATACTAGAATACAGCTGTCACAAAGACACTAAATGTATGAGGACATCGATGTTAATGTGTTAATCAAAATAGAAGATTTTTGTATGGAACTGATTTGTTTGTATTGATGTTTAGTTTTTTGTAATGTTTGAATTCTACGTGATTGTTTGTATTTGACTATATTATTTAATCAAAATCTATTCTTTTTCTTTCTTGATTAATATTGTGATGTATATTGTCATTTAAAAAAAAACTACTTTAATAATGAATATAAATCTTGGCAAATTGTGTTTAAATTCTTCATAGAATGTAGGATTGCTATGGATGAAGATAAATGACGAACACAATACTTTCTTATACTCTCATCCATCTTCGTTATTCTATATTAACTTCCGATGCATACTCGTCTACTTTATCTACGAGACTGAGCAGCGGCATAACGGCTTTCTTCAGAGAAACCAGAGGTTTATCTCGAAAGCCTGCAATAAGTGGAAGCATTCGCATGGGCTCATTAGCCACATCACTGAAGCGCTCTTGATGTCTTGATAATTCGCTATTATTGTTGTATGCCATTAGAATAAATTCGACCTGGCAAGAACAGATTAAAAGAAACTGTAAGAATGTAGTATACGAACGTGATTTATCAATCAAACGTAAATCGATATTTGTGATTCAGTCGAAAGCTGATATAAATGTAGAGATTGATGAGGAAAAATCTATTAAAAAAATAATGCGGACGATGGAAACTGGATAAGGTTTAAGAATCATTGAAAAATTTATTGTTAACGGTGTGGACGAAGAACAGATCAACACTCACACTCTCAAGATGTTTACAACTAAGTGAATAGCATCATTCAGAATCAGTGAAGAAACAGTACTACATGATTCTTTTAAGTGTGGTCTATTCAAAGAGAAAAAACATAAATGCGTATGTCTCAAAGCGTTGAAATGTTTTTTCTCGAAAATACACAAATTCAAAAGCATTGACTGTAATGAATGCAACATACGATGCAAAAGTATTGCCATGAAAGATTAAACCATATTTTCTTACAATAAAAAGTGCCGAAAATAAATGTTTTTCATGACACGATACAACTTCTTCTTCTTTTACAAATCTACTATAACTTGTATTTATTCTACTACATATAAATCGATTAGAATGACAAAAAAAAGTACACCATCAACGAAGTTCCTGACGTTTGGTGATATGTACAAAAAAATACTAGTAAATGGGTGAGTGTGAGTGTATCCTGCTTTAATCTTGGATACACCCACAATCACACTGACACTCACACCTATACTCACACTCATACTCACATCCATACTCACAGCCACACCCACATTCAAATCCACACTCACAACAAGCAAAACGCATATATAAAAAAAAGAGACAATTCAATAACTCGTCTCAGTTACTCACTAAAAAGCGTACAACTCACACACTCTCATAAAACGATTAGAAGAGCATTAACAATTCAGTTACCAGTGAACATGTCGTCACGCCATAGCCCTTCCTTAATCCTTCCATCGAAATACAGCATTTTTCCTTGACCGTGCATCTTACCATTAACCCAATCACCTATGTATTTATCGCCACTGATCCATGTTTTTGTACCTCGACCGTGCGGTTTGTCATCTTTCCAATCGCCCTCATACCTGTTCCCATCGGACCACATCTGTGTGCCTTGACCGGTTCTGATATTATTAACCCAATCACCTATATATTTATTGCCATTGGACCACGAAAATGTACCACGTCCGTGCATCTTGTCATCTTTCCAATCTCCTTCGTATCTGTTACCATCGGACCATATCTGTGTGCCTTGACCAGTTCTAATGTTATTATCCCAATCACCTATGTATTTATTGCCATTGGACCACGAGAATGTGCCACGTCCGTACATTTTGTCATCTTTGAAATCTCCTTCGTATATATTGCCATCGGCCCAAGTCTGTATACCTTGACCACTTCTGATGTTATTAACCCAATCACCGATGTATTTATCACCACTGATCCATGTTTTTGTACCTCGACCGTGCTGTTTGTCATCTTTCCAATATCCTTCATATCGGTTACCATCGGCCCAAGTCTGTATGCCTTGATCGCTTCTGATGTTATTAACCCAATCACCTATGTATTTATCGCCGTTGTACCACGTGAATGTGCCACGTCCGTGCTGTTTGCCGTTCTTGTAATCTCCTTCGTACCTGTTGCCATTAGACCACGTGTATGTACCATGACCAGTTCTAGTTTTACTAACAAAATCACTTTTATGTTGATGGTCATTGGACCATGTGAATGTGCCACGTCCGTTTTGTTTGCCGTTCTTGTAATTAGCTTCGTACCTGTTGCCATCGGACCGCAAGTACCTGTCTTCACCAGTTTTGCTGTCTTTAACGCAATCAGCTATATACTTATCACCTGTTCCCTCCGTCTCTGATCCCCACGTCTGTATGCTATGACCTTCCTGTTCCCCATCTTCGAAATCTGCTTCATACGTGTTGCCATGAGCCCACTTGTATGTGCCTTGATCAGTTCTGATGTCATTGACCCAATCACCTATGTATTTAAGACCTGCCAATTTTGTGTCTGATCCCCACATGTATGTGCCGTGACCGTGCTTTTTTCCATCTTTGTAAGCTCCTTCATGCCTGTTTCCATCGGCCCACGTGTATTTGCCTTGACCAGTTCTGCTTCCATTAACCCAGTCACCTATGTATCTATCGCCATTGATCCATATTTTTGTACCTCGACCGTGCTGTTTTCCATCCTTAAAATTTCCTATGTATTTATCACCATTGATCCATGTTTTTGTACCACGACCGTGCTCTTCGCCATCTTTAAAATCTCCTATGTATTTATCGCCGTTGGCCCATGTGTATGTGCCTCGACCAGTTCTGATGTCATTAACCCAATCACCTATGTATTTAAGACCTGCCCACTTCGTGTCTGATCCCCACGTGTATGTGCCATGTCCGTGCTTTTTTCCATTTTTATAAGCTCCTTCGTATATGTTCCCATCGGCCCATGTGTATGTACCTTGACCAGTCCTGCCGTCATTAACCCAGTCACCTATGTATTGATCACCATTGATCCATATTTTTGTACCTCGACCGTGCTGCTTGCCATCTTTGAAATTTCCTATGTATTTATCGCCATTGGACCACGTGTATGTACCCTGTCTGTCCGCCTTGCCGTCTTTGTATTCTCCTTCGTATCTAGCACCGTCGATCCATGTTTTTGTACCCCGACCGCGCATGTTGCCATTAACCCAGTCACCTATGTATTTATCACCGTTGGACCACGTGAATGTGCCATGTCCTTGCTGTTTGTCGTCTTTGTAATCGCCTTCGTACCTATTGCCGTTGGGCCATGTTTCTGTGCCTTGACCAGTCCTGATGTTATTCACCCAATCACCTATATATTTCTTGCCCTTAATCCATGCTTTTGTACCTCGACCGTGGATGTTGCCATTAATCCAATCACCTATGTATTTATCACCGTTGGACCACATGAATGTGCCACGACCGTGCATCTTGTCGTCTTTGAAATCTCCTTCGTACTTATTGCCATTAGGCCATGTGTATGTGCTTTTCCCAGTTCTGGTACCGTTCACCGAGCCACCTATGTATTTATCACCCTTGATCCATGTTTTAGTACTTTCACCGTGCTGTTTGCTAGTTTTTAAATCTTGTTCATAAGTGCTACTATTGGTCAATTTCGGTATTTGTTGACCAGTTATGGTGTCATTAACAAAATTACTTAACTGTTTTTCGCCGTTCGGTGATGTGTATGCTTCTTGGCCAGTTCGGATGTTATTAACCCATTGACCTGTGTATTTAGTGCCGTTGGACCAAGTGAATGTACCACGTCCGTGCATCTTGCCACCTTTGAAATGCCCTTCGTACTTGTCGCCATTGGCCCACGTCTGTGTCCCTTTACCAGTGATGGTGTTATTAGCCCAATCACCTGTGTATTTAGTGCCGTTGGACCACTTGAATGTACCTCGACCGTGCATGTTACCATTAATCCAGGCGCCTATATATAAATCGCCAGTGAACCATGTGTTTGTACCTTGACCGTGCTTCTTGCCGTTTTTGTATTCGCGGTCATCCATTAAGAACGACCAGATAAAAATGGCATTTTTTTGACTCCCTGTTCCTCCCTGTCCAGATTTGTCCATTTCTGGCTCACCCAGTCCTCCCTGGACGTCGAGATTAAAGAATTTTGAAAAGCTATCTGGTAATCAGGCATTTGCCTGAAATTGTTTTGCATAACAGTTCATTAGTTAATATATAAAAAAATTAGTATCGAATATATTGTAGTGCTACGAATTATAGAACTTTGGTATTATTTAGTATTATTTCTGTAGTTTACGTTTATTTATTGTTCTAGTTTGTATTAGTTAATTGGGACCCAGCATATGAAAATAAATATATCTACCAAACAAATAGTTTAGCTTTTAACTTTACAAACTACTAATGTAACAAGAAAAAATATTAAAGATTACGTTACTGAGGAAAGTTAATATATAAAATGAGCAAAACGAATATTTCACAGATAATAAATGAAAATAGAATCTGTTACGAGTTTTGTTTTTTAAATTCAACTTTAAGTCTTGAGCATAGAATATAAAGAAAAGATATCTTAAATATTATATTATCGGAAAATATAAAATAATCATTTTATTGCTTTAAAGAATGAGTAGCTACCGAATCAGCATAATCTTCAATTAATTTAACACCAGACTCCGTCTCAATTGATTTATTTGGTTTATTAACTGCTGTTGTTTCACTATCGATGTTATAGTGGATGGCGTCACTTTGAGAGCTCTTATACTTTCTGTTTGTTCAGCTCGCGTACTTATCTTTGATATTCTACATTCATCGATAAAGTATACATTTAAAAAAAAATGACTCTTAAGAACGCCCTCCATAAATGAAACTAATTTGAAAGATTCGTGAAAATTCACAAAAAAGCTTATCAGCGCAGCCCCGTTGAGGCTAAAAATGTGGAACTCACGTAAGTTCGCATCAAAATATATGATCACGTTTAAGTGTTTCGTTTTCTTTTTTTGCTCAAATTTAATTTAGTTATAGCTATTTTCCACAATTTTTGGTTATTTTTATTAAATTTCCAGCAGCATATAGCTATTTTTACCGATTTGTCGTTACTTTTATACAAATTCGCGCAATTTATAGCTATTTTTCACCATTTTGGTTCTTTTTATTAAATTTGCAGTAATTTACGACTATTTTTTACTATTTTTGCTTATTTTTATTAAAATTCTACTAATTTATAGCTGTATTTAACCATTTTGCTTATTTTTTATAGAAAATCCAGCAATTTATAGCTATTTTTAGCGCTTTTTCATTATTTTTATTAAATTTTAGCAATTTATAGCTATTTTTGATGATTTTTGCGTATTTTTATTAAATTTGGGGGGAGGGGAGGGGAGCTGGGAAACCTGAACTTAAAACACACTGACGATTTTCTTCGAAAATTTACGTGAGTTCCACAAAATATAAAAACTATTCTAGTCAGTGTCTGGACGTCCAGGACTATTTGATCCCTTTCCTCACCCTGTTCAGAAACGTCTATGTTTCGCTGACTTTTCCCACTCCCGTTTGCCTGGTCGTCCTTAATAAATGGCCCCTTCTCCTTTGTATTTATCACCACTGGTCGACGTGTATGTACCGTTGCCGTGCTGCTTGTCGTCTTTGTAATCTCCTTCGTACTTAGCACCATTCATCCATGTTTTTGTACCTCGACCATGCATGTTGCCATTAATCCAATCACCTATGTATTTATCGCCGTTGGACCACGTGACTGTGCCACGTCCGTACATCTTGCCACCTTTGACCTCTCCTTCGTACCTATCGCCATTAGGCCATGTGTATGTGCTTTTCCCAGTTCTGATACCGTTCACTGAACCACCTATATATTTATTGCCTTTAATCAATGTTTTTGTACTTTCACCGTGCTGTTTGTTTGTTTTCAAATCTTGTTCGTAAGTGCTACTATTGGTCAATGTCTGTGTCTCTTGACCAGTTCTAATGTTATTAACCCATTCACCTGTGTAGTTAGTGCCATTAGACCATATAAATGTGCCACGTCCGTGCATCTTGCCACCTTTGAAATGTCCTTCGTACCTGTCGCCATTGAGCCACGTCTGTGTGCCTTGACCAGTTGCGCTGTCATTAACCCATTCACCTGTGTATTTAGTGCCATTAGACCACGTTAATGTACCATGTCCGTGCTGTTTGTCATCTTTGAAATCTCCTTCGTATCTATTACCGCTGGACCACGTCTTTGTGCCTTGACCAGTTGCGGTGTCATTAACCCATTCACCTGTGTATTTAGTGCCATTAGACCATGTGTATGTGCCTTGACCAGTTGTCCTGTCATTAACCCAATCACCTATGTATTTATCGCCGTTGATCCATGTTTTTGTACCTCGACCGTGCTGTTTGTAATTAACCCATTCACCTATGTAGATATCGCCATTAGACCATGTGTATG